ATTATATTATCTCTTTCAAAGCATAGAATGAGCTTTGTGTACAAACATTTGTATTAAACTGCTTTGCATGATTGCAAAAGCAAAATAAACACTTAAATGGACAAAACAGTCTATTTACTCAAAGATATTATTATGCTCCATTGCAATAAAAGTGCATTAGTAATCTATTCATAATGTGCATAGTTTTATTTACAAATGTACATGAAATGTATAAAACAAAATAAAAGTCTAACAAAATAAGTACTCATACAGAACATGTTTTGAAATAGCATCATAGTGTCAAAATGTTTTGGGGTCATTGTACTACAGATAACATTATTTCCTCTCATTCTAATTTATGGAGCTTAACATGTTTAAATAATGACCATACAACAATTTAACAGTTGCAATTATCATAAGGGAATTCTTACCAAAAAAAATTTACCTCAGAGATTTATCGTCAAATAGGATATGCTAAAAACTTGGTTCCTCATGCTTTTAAAAAATAATGTTGACAGTCTCTGTTTTCAAGATGGCAGTCTGTGTAATTATTTTCAGTCCCCCAAAGAAGCTTTAGATATATTAAAATTGATATTGGAAATAAGCAACTAACATATATGTAACTTCAATAGGAACAATTATTTAAGGGCAAGAACAAGCAACCTCGCATATGCCTCTGAATACAAAGGGTAGTTAAATTTCAAAGACAGGAAGGGATAAGAATGTTTCTCTGTCTTGAGGTTTTCCAGCCAAAGGCAAGGAGAAACAGAAGGCAAATTCCTAAAGAATTAGGTGGAATTACACAGTAGTGTCTCCGCTACACAAACTCCAAACCTCGTTGGGTTTTATAGTGAATGCCAGCGTGTCATCTATATCATCCTTTCAGATCTGAAGTACTCATTACTCCAGCTACTGGGAATGTGACTGAGGCCCTTAGCTGAGTCCCTCTTTGGCTCTTCTCTTGCCTAATGAGCCACCAGTAGCCCGGGGAAGGCCCCATTATGACAGGTTGGTGAAACACTATAAAAGCTACCCAATTCACCCCAATTCAGGACAACTGTGAAGGGCCACTGCAGCTCTAGAGAGCTCTGTATAAACATCTGGCTGACACTTTTGTTGCCATTTCACCATAAGTCATTTTCTCCCCCTTCCTTCATCCACTTCACCCATGTGTGGATCTTGAGAGTAAAGCTGTATCAATTTTCTAATGCTGCTGTAGCAAATTACCAGAAATTTAGTGCCTTAAATCAACATAAAATTATTATCTTACAGTTATGTTTATTAGAGACTGATGAATTTTTCACTGGCTAGAATCAAGTTGCCAACAGATCAGCATTCCTTTCTGGAGACACTGGGGAAGAATGTCTATCTTTGATAGGCTATCCACTTTCCTTAACTTCTTGGTCTCTTCATTTTCAAAGCCATTCATTTTCAGCAATAAAGTGTTGAGTCCTTCTCACATGGTATTTCTCTGACCTTGTTTTTGTTGTCATATCTCCTTCTCTTGTTACCAGCCGGAACACAGTTTTTTCTCAGGATTGTGTGTTTCTGAGGCAAAGAAGATTGAAGCCAGCAGACAAGAGTACAGAGCAACCAGCAAAGCTCTTTTAATGAGTGAAAAGACAAAGCTACTGCTATTCAGGAGGGGCTCCAAGAGAGGACACCATCAAGGCTCTGGTGTCTGGAGTTTATTTTGCCTCCTGAGAGGAGAAATCCCAATCCTACCTCCCTTGGACCTAATAGAGAACTGAACGAATGACATCACAACACACTTTTGACTGGCTGGAAATACAATGCTTCATTTCCATAGGGCAAAACCAGTCAGAGCATCTGATGTCTATTTAAATGGCTGAGTTGGACCTGGGCTTTTGAAACTTACATGGGTCCTGAACTTTATCTGCCTGAGTCCTATCCTACTATCACCTGCCTCACTCTGACTCAAATTCTTCTGCTTCCATTGTCCATGCTTATGGACCCCTTATTATTACATTGGACCCATCTGGATAATCCAGGATACTCTCCCTAACTTAGTCAGGTGATGAACAACCTTAACTCCATCTGCAACCTTAATTCCTCTTTGCCAAGAAACTTAACATATTCACAAATTCTGGAGATTAGGATTTGGACATCTTTAAGGAGGTATTATTCTGCCTACCATAAATACCTGAGTAAGCTTCCTGCATGCAAATCTCCACGTGAGAATGTGCTGCCTAAGAAACCCTTTCTGCAAAGGCTGCTTGGCCAGGATCTTTGACAAGCTCAGCAAGAAATCACAATGGAAAGAAAAACTCACAGTAAAAAGTCACCAAACTTTCAGATTATCTACAAAATTAAAAAAAGAGTTCATGATATAAAAAGAAACTACGTGAAATAGAGTTAAAACTAAACCACTTTAGGGTTATAAATACATGTAGTTAGCAACTTTAAAGAGATGAGTCATGAGAGAGAAGGGGAGAAAGAGAAAGAAATAATTACAATCATGAAGAAAACAGTTTTCTTCTTTGAAAAAGATTGAACATTGAAAATTTAAGTGTTGAAAGATGTGCGAACTGAAGAATAGACTAAAAACTACTGAAAATAAAAAATTGTGACTTTTAAGAATAGATGGATGTATTTTCAAGACCACAGCAAAGTAGATAAGGTGATGGAAGAAAAGAAAATTAAAATACAATAAAGTATTTACAAAAGAATATGGAAAAAATTTTAGAGAAATATTTAAAGAAATAAGTCTGTAATCTAGAAGTAATAAATGCATAGTCTATATACATAGCATAAGAATATAGGGACTGACTGAATGCTGAACATGACTTTTCAAAAAATTTATAAGACTAGACTCAATATAATGAAATTTCAGAATATCCAAGTTAAGACCATTTCCAAGAAACAGAGAAAAAATTCCTTTCGAAAGATTGAAAGCATGAATGGCATCATGTGTTTTATTAACAGTATTAGTGGCAAGAAAAAAAACTGGACAAGTTCAGAAAGCTCATTAACAGTACTATTCCAAAAATTCCATAATTTTTTAAATCTAATATTCAAACAAGAGGGCAAATGAAGACATATGTAGGCATGAAATATAATTATTACCAGAACATATGAGGTTGTGGTCACCATCAGGATGGGCTGAATACATATATTCTCCATGAAGATTGCTAACCCCAGAGCAAGAAGACATTCATAAAGATTTGTTGCAGAAATAAATGATAGAAAATACATATGATCAAATAAACATGGTCATTTCAAAAAAATTTTTTAACCCTGAAATACAGTTCCAGACAATTCCATCTTGCTCTCAAGCTGTCCAAGAAAAACAAGGAAAGGCAAAATAGGACTAAAATGTTGTTTTGCTTAAAGTAGGATAGTTACAAATTAGTATTATTAGAAAACTAATATTCCACTAACTAATGTTAGGAAACAAAGTTAGGTTATGAAATCATGCAACTTAGAAAAAAGGAAATATTAGTAAATGTGAAAAATTTTTAAAGTAATCAAAAACAAAGATCAAAAAGCAAGAAGTGTGTTCTGATTTATTAAAATCCTGCTACCCAAAAATTCTACCTCAAATTATAAAACCAGGATAAATTACCTAAAAACATACCAAGAAATAAATGGAGCTATGCAGCAAATATTCTAATTAAAAAAAATAACATGAAAATCTATTAATAAATGAATACCTAATATGATCAATATTATAAAATAAAATATAAAACATGTCAATCCATACAAATTAATAAGTTATTTAAATAAAATACTGCAATTGGCTGTAAAATAAAAATTTCTATACTGTAATGTCAGAAAAATACATGATGTATTTTTGCCCCTGGAAAAATAAAAGAGAAACTGTTGGTGCAGTGTTGAAGATAACTTCAACTTTAATTTAATACATATTTTTATTAAGCACTCTCTGTGAGATGAGTACAATGTTAAAACTCATTAATTCATGAGTTGTAGAACAAAGATATTTGTTATATTTTTACTTTTTTCTTTAAGTCTGAAAAAGAAAATATGTACTATTTAACATAAAGCAATGTGACCGTTTTTATGATGCAAAAGGTCATTGCTTGGTCTTTGGGAAAATCTCATTGTTGAACGGATTGAAAGCCTTCAGTCACAGGTGAAAACGTGACTATTTATAGGTCGGTTGACAGCTTGTACATTAAAGTCAGTGGAGGAATTAGGGATAGATCATGGGTTTAGGGTGAGAAGCTTGGGTTTGGGGATGGAGTATTTTAGGGTCAAATGTACTTTGAGAAAACAAAACTCAGTAATGTGATAGGCAAAGGCCAGCATGCATCACGTATACTATCTGTGATTCAATAACAGACCATACTTATCCTGTGGGCCTGAAAATGAGAACTATCAGTGTTAGTGAGAAAGAGTTTTGAAATCATATGTTTCTTTTGGCCATCATTCCACTGACTCTTACATGTTTGGCAGTTATTCACTTCAAGTGACAGATTTGACAATGATTTTTTTGAATGCATGAGCTTAGCTCATTTTTAAGAGCACAACAGAATGCAAGCTCTGCTAGGCCAGACATTTGTGTCAGTTTGATTCAGTGATTTATCCTTAACAATTAGAATGACTTAAGACATACAATAAACACAAAATAAATTAAATGAATATTTAAATGAATATGTGAATGAGTGAATGAATGCCTGAAGTACAGGGTCCAAAACCAGTACCACATTTTTTTAAATTGCCTAGCACACAGACCCAATATAATATATTCTTTCACCAGAAAAGAAACAGCCTAATGCTATCAAGGATTCTGAATGCAGACAGGCAGACACAGGTCACACAAACCCCTTGCAGTACAGGCCAACAGCCTTTGAACTTGAGATCCAAAGATGTTGCCCCAAGTCCCCAAATCCAAATCCATTACCTAGGAGCTTGGAACAAATACACTTGCATTGCAATCTGGCAGCAACAGGTTAGGACCACAAGATATTTGTAAAGGCAAGAACACACCAGTCTTCCTAGATGGATCAAAATCCTGAATAAAGAATAGGGTAGGTGTCTTATTTTTTAGAAAAGACACGGAGCACTTGCTCTTGTATCTGCTTGGTCCGTACACCATAAATGACGGGGTTCAGTGAAGGGGGGATCACCAGGTACAGGTTGGCGACAAGAATGTGAATATAGCGTGGTATGTTGTGCCCAAATCGGTGGGTGAGGAAGGAGAAGACCGAGGGAACATAGAAAACACACATGACCCCAACATGGGAGCCACACGTGTTCAGGGCTTTGAGCCGGGCTTCCCACGACGGGAGGCGAAAGACAGAGCAGAGAATGTAAATGTAGGAGATGCCGATAAAGACCAGATTCAGAAGGAAGAGAGAGACCACAAAGAGCCCATAGATGGCATTGATACGGATGTTTCCACAGGACAGTTTTGCAATGCCCATGTGCTCACAGTAAGAATGAGCTATTATGCGAGCCTGGCAGAAGGGTAGCCGGTAGATGAGATAAATCATGGGAAATGTAAGCAGGACTGGACGAATTACAATGCACATGGTGACGCCCAACAGCACCCGGGACGTCAAGATAGTCGTGTAGTGGAGAGGAGCGCAGATGGCCACATACCGGTCAAAAGCCATGGCCAGTAAGACCTCAGCCTCCATGCCAGTGAACGCATGGATCAGAAACATCTGGGCCACACAAGCTCCAAAGTTAATCTCATGGGCATCAAACCAGAGGATGCCCAGCATGCGGGGCACAGCGGTTGTACAAAGGGCCAGATCAGTCGTGGAAAGGAGGGCCAGAAAGTAGAACATGGGCTCCCGGAGGGTCTGCTCCGTCTTGATGACTAGCAGAATTGTGGCATTTCCCACTAAAGCCACAAGGTAAACAGAGCAGAAAGGCAGGGAGATCCAGGCGTGGATACCTTCCAGACCTGGGATTCCGATGAGGAAAAACGTGGCTGGGTGTAAACTGCTGTCATTTTGATAAAGCATTTTTCCAAATGAGGGAGGAGGAGCGTGTGTCTCTCCTAGAGGTAGAAAGAGAAAAAGATATTGAATAAGAGGTGGTTATAAAAATAATTAACTTAGTGCCTCCATATGTAGTGAAAATGAGAAGCTTTGCTATTTTGAAGGACTTATTGCATTTTTATGTTATATTGAACCATATTCATTCAATTGAACAAATGTTAAATATCTTAATACATATGCAGATTTTACCCTTATTGTATGGGTATCATCATGTAACATGAGAAAAATCATAGGAAGTATAAGCACTACTGGACGAAATGTATAAGCTGATGTCCACCAGTACGTGGGATATCATGTAACATGAATGGCTTATCATGATGTAACAGTAAAAACATTACTTTCTCGGCCTTAATATGGTATTGTTTTCCTGCCTAATCTTTGAGCCAAAATGGAGGAGAGTGATGAGGCTTCTGCTCAGCCAGCAGCCCTGCATTCTGCCTTGCTGATCATCACAAGGAATTTTACTGTTAGTTTGAGATTTCCTCAAATAGCTCTTTACCCAAACCTTGCCTCTTCCAGGAGATAGGGGAATATTATGTACAGAAATAGTGAGTGCCTGGTCAAAGAGTTTAAGGAACACTGTGAACAGACCTGGGATGGTGAGTGTCAACTACCCAAGGATATGGAGTTTCTCAGTTCTCCTTGGACCCTGGCAGATGCCCAAATGTCTTCAGCCTTCAGTCACCCCTTAACCTACTCCACCTCCTGTTCCCCCTTCCCATAACATAAATGAAGCTTGTAAACAACTTAGTTAACATAGTTCTTTTGGACGTGAGTCCCCATCTTCTCTGTCAGCTGGCTTTCTAAGGAAAGTAGATTTCCTTGCCCCAACACCTCGTCTCTCGACTTAATGGCATGTCATGCAGATAGTGGCACAGGCTTGGATGGGGTAACAGTCAAACCCATGGCAGAACTATAAGATATAGAACTTGATAGTAAGGAAGGAATAATTATTGTGTCTTGTAGCTTCGTGAAGCCCCAGTGAAAAGGGGAACAAACGAATAATGAAGGATTCGCAGATGGAAATGCAACCATAATGATCAAGGAGACAGGTCAGATAGAAACTAATGTCAGTGGCACAGTGGACAAGACACCTCCATAGTTAGAAATTGCAGAAATTTTCTAATGATTTACTCACCATTTATCGACATAGACAAAACACCAAGATCAAGCCTAACGTCAGAGGTATACATTATCACAAAAAAAAAAAAACACAGACACTCTGCGACGCCTGCCCAGGAGGACACACAAGCTGGGTTACATACCTCTATGTTTGAAGGAGCCCAGAAAGAATGATAATACTAAACCTAAAGTAGATTTCCATTGACATCTCTATTTTTCCAAGACCCCCCCTCCATTTCAGAGAAACTCCTTTTAGGTGTCAGGGTGGAGGTGGTTTCTCTGGTCCTTACAAGCTTCTTCATTCCCTCTCCACTCCACATCCGTGCCTCTAAGGAAACCTGCTCCTTTTATGACTGCTACAGAGCTAACATGTACTGGGTGATCAGGTAACTGGAAATATGGGTGAGGGCAACCCAGTAGGCTTCAGGTGATAATGGAACTGGGGAAGGCAGTTGTCAGCAGCACAAAACTGAACAGAATGACACAGTCTAATTGGAGAATTACTTTCTGTATTTGCCTGAGGAAGTAGTGGAGGGTACTTTTGCAATGCCTTCAAAATGATGTATGAGCAATGAGTTGCTCATAAACTCTAGTGAAATTAAGGGACTTTGTGTCTCCAACCTGAGACAGAGTTGTTCAAGATGAGGATTAAGCATCAGTCTCCTGTTTTATCCTTTATGTAGCTCCACATTGCTGTGTGAAGTATGTGAGGATGAAAAAATAAAATAAATGTTACATACATTCTAAGATTATATATTGAGAGAAAGATGGGGGTGGGCAGAACAGTAGTTTGTAATGCCTCCCTTCTCTGTGTCTAATTTTTTTTCAGAGTGTAAACATCTAGGTTAGAACTACTGCTTAGTAGCAGGAAGCTGTCCAGGAGCAAGCTTCCTAAACACCCTGATGCCTAGCTTAGGTTCATTCCTGGATATAAACTCAATAATGCAGCCACTGCTCATCTCAAACTTTCACAGTGCTTCAGACATCCATTTCATTCATTTCCTATAGACTCCGGCAGAAGCATAATTTATAGTTTATCAAACAACTGTATGGTCACTTGGCAGGTAGCTTTAAAATGCAATAGATCTTCTAGATATTTTTTAATATAGTCAGTCTGCAGTTAAAAATTGCAAGGTTTCTACTCTCTAGTAGATTTGGACACTGGACTGCATGGTGAGTATTACCTTCAGCCAGCAGCTCTCGGCCACCTTTATTCATGCCTCTTTCATTTGACTATAGTACATACCTAAACCAAAAGAAAATTCATCCCTGGGGATTCATTCCTCCACAGAATTAGGAACATGGTAAAAACACCAAGAACCAAAGCTCTGTTTCTTTAACTACAGTCCAAGGTGAGTCAGTTTTTATTAAGGCTCTAGCTACATGTGACATTGGAAAGTATGAGTTAATCAGTTTTCTACTATAAATGGTGCCCTGGGATTGAGTCTTCTGAGATTACTGACAGAACCCTAGACTGTGATTTAGAGAAACAGAATCCAAAGTAAAAGTGACATGGATGGGAATTTATGTTGAGGAAACTACAAAGATGAGGCAAATACACAAAAATATTATCATGTATATGGCATGAACAGAGATACATTTCATCTCCCTCTAAGTCGTATTTTGGAGTCAAATTCTGTGGGATGTTTTTAAGATAAAATAGGATTTAATCCACACTGTAAGGTCAAACAAAATAATCTGGCATAGGAGACCCCAGTTTGAGGCACAGCTCTTATGGTGTCCCTACACTGACATTGTGTTCCAGGATCATTGAATCCTCAGCTGTGACAGTTCGTATCTGTGAGTCTTTGGTCCCACTGTCCTCTGTCCATGATTTTTTCTTTAAATCATCTCTCTTGATAATTTTTCATATCTCTATCACAAAGGCCATAGAGAGAAGTGGTAAAAAATATCTAATCCCGAAGTTAATCTTACTCAGTTCAAATACTGGATTTGCTATATACCAGCTTTGTCACCTTGAGTGATTTACTAACCATCTCTGTCTCCATTTTCTCAGTTGTAAAATTAGGGATGCTAAGAGTACCAACAGCATAAATATTTGGAGGAATAAATTAAGTTAATAACTTTCAGGTACTTAATACAATACCTGGCACATCTTAAGTGCTTAATGAAAATAGGAATATGCAGGCTATTTTCAAATTGCTTCATGCATGTTAACCTCTTCAATCTTCAGAACAGCCCAATGACTTAGATACTTTGCTGATTTGCATTATACAGAGGGAAAATTTGAGCCATAGAAAAGTATAGCACCTTCCCAAAGGCTGTGCTTCTAGAAAATGCCAAAGATGGATTTGGAACCCAAATGTCTTTTGCCAAAATCTATGATACAAATAGACTTTTTTGCTCGAAATCTTTTTCTAATTTGGATCTTGATCCTATGCTGTTTCCACAAGTGTTTTGAAGATACCAGAAGCCTGTTGAAAGTTCTTCCCTTATAATACATTCACATGGAACTACATATTCACCTGAAAATGTATAAATAGGTAGCTGACCCTGCCTTTTCTGAATGTTTTTATTTTGAATTCATTTTTAAAAATTTTATATTTAAAATTACCAAAAGATTTTTTAGGTATCCTTAATGTACAATAATTAGTCCAATTTGAGAAGTTCTGACATATGTATGTACCTCTGCAACCAACACCACAATTAAGATGATGTATCACACACAAGTGTATTCTGATATCACTTTATAAACCTCCCCACCAGTCCATCTCTGCCTAATTTCCAGTCAGTCATCTGCTTTCTGTCATTATACGAGTTTAGATTTCTAGATGATTTGTATAAATAAAACTACACAGCATGTATTATTTTTTAAATAACAGCTTTATTGAGATTGTATTCATGTACTATGAAAGGCACCCATACAAAGTGTATAACTGAGAGATTTTCACCATATTTTTACAGACGTAAAACCATTACACTAATTTTGAAAGGCTTCAAATGTTTCATGTTTCAAAACACAATATTGAACTGTTTTCATCACCACAAAGGAAAGCCTTTGCCCTTTGTTGGTCACTGAACTGTGTCCCAACTCTATAACCAAAGGGAGCAGAACATTCTATCACTGTGGATTTGCCTATTCCGAGCATTTCATATAAATAGAACCAAACAGTATGTGCCCTTTGGTGTCTGGTTTCTCTCATGTAGCATAATGTTTTCAAAGTCCATTCATTTGATATCATGTGTTAGTAGTACTTAATCTGTTTTACACCCAGATAATATTCCATTGTGTGAATATAACGCATGCCGTTTATTCAGTCCTCAGGTGATGTACATTTGCGATCTTCCCACTTTGGAATGATTGTGAATGATGATTCTATGAACATTCATGGACAAATTTGTTTTGTAGATGTGTGTTCTCAATTCTCTTGGATACATACCTCAGTGTGGAAATGTTGGGTCATATGTTAAGTTTAAATGAAACATTTGAAGAAATACATGAACACTAAAATCCTTGCCTTCCTTAAGCAGATGGTTCCAGAAATCTAGAGGTGATAATATTCATAACAGTTGCCACTACCTTCTAGACACCACCAGTGTCCCCATTACCAATAATGCGAGCCCTTAATATTCTTAAACTAATCAGATAAGGAACTAATTCCAAATTCCTTTTCTTAAGGACTTCTTACCCAGGAAACTGTATTGGTACATATACACTTGTGTCAGTTAGGTTCAGAATTACTCTAAGAATGAAAGAATAAAGGAATGATTGCAAGCATTAGATACAATTCTGGGGGGATCTAGACAAAAAAATATCTGTAAACAAATTTACTTACTCAATTAGGCACATTAATAGTCTTGTCACTAATTTTATAATCAAT